AGGATAACAATTCCAGAGCTGTGGGATAATAACTCCAGAGGAAAACAATTCCAGGAGTCAGGATAACAATTCCAGAGATGGAGAACAGCAATTCCAGAGCTGGGGGATAACAATTCCAGAGGTACAGGATCACAATCCCAGAGCTGTGGGATAATAATTCCAGAATTAGGATCACAATTCCAGGACTCGGGATCACAATTCCAGAGCTACAGGATAACAATTCAACAGCTGGGGATACCAACTCCATAGGATAACTATTCCAGGACTCAGGATAACAATTCCAGGGCTACAGGATAACAATTCAACAGCTGGAGATAACAATTCCAGAGCTGGGGATACCAATTCCAGAATTGGGGATCACAATTCCAGAGCTGGGGATAACAATTCCAGAGCTACAAAAGGATAATTCCAGGGCTGCCAGGGCTACAGAACAACAATTCCAGAGCTGGGGATAACAACTCCAGAGGATAACCATTCCAGAACTACAGGATCACAATTCCAGGACTCAGGATAACATTCCAGAGCTAGGGAATAACAATTCCAGAGCTACAGGATCACAATTCCAGGGCTACAGGATCACAATTCCAGGACTGAGGATAACCATTCCAGAGTTGGGGATAACAACTTCAGAGCTGGAGATAACAATTCCAGGACTCAGGATCACAATTCCAGAGCTGTGGAATGAAGCTCCAGAGGGTAACAATTCCAGGACTCAGAATAACAATTCCAGAGCTGTGGAATAACAACTCCAGAGGATAACAATTCCAGAGGTGGGGGATAACAGTTCCAGAAGTGAGGAATAACAATTTCAGAGCTGGGAATGACAATTCCAGGACTCAGGATAGCAATTCCAGAGCTGGAGGATAACAGTTCCAGAGGATAACAATTCCAGAACTACAGGATCACAATTCCAGGACTCAGGATAACAATTTCAGAGCTGTTGGTTACAGTTCCACCAGAAGCACCTCCCAGCTCCAGCTGTATCCTCATTTCCCCATAAATCAGAGCCAGGATCAGCTCCAGCTGTTCATTCCCAGGGGGAATTGGATGTGTTTGGACAGGGCCAGGCAGGGTGAGAAGGAAGCTCCTGGTTTTTGGCAGCACTTGGGATTTTAATTCCTGAGTTTTCGGGGATGAGTTTGATCCCAGCTCTCCTGGAACTCCCTGTAGAGTTTTCCAGGGATGCTCTTCCCAAAAAAGTCATGGAAATGGAACAGCAGGAGTAAGAGCTGAGCTTCCCTCTGCAGCCAGCTGGGAGCAGGTGCTGATTTAATCCCAGCTTTAATTCAAGCTCCTTTAATCCTGCAGGGGAAAGAGCAGCTCAGGATTTGTTGGGAGACCCTGCCCTGGGAGCAGGAATGGATTTAATGAGTGGGAAAATGCAGTTCTCTAGGAATTCTGCATTATTCCCAACCTGGAATGCTCTAAAACCTGAATTTCCAGGCTAGAATGAAGCAAGGGGTTGGGCTTCCCCACGTCCCAAAATAAGGCTTAAAACTGGGACGTGCCAAATCCCAAGGGATTTGGATTGGTTTTGAATTTATCTGGCCCGAACCAAAGATTTCAGTGTTATTTTTCCCCACATTGATGGGTGATTCAAAAAAATGGGCTCAGGATTCATTGGGAGACTCTGCTGGGTGCAGGAATGGATTTACTGCAGTTTCCAAGGAATATTTTTTATTATTCCCAACCTGGAATGGGTTATAAACTGAATTTCCAAGCCCTGAGAGTGGGGCTGGGGATAAATGAAGTGTTTCCAACATCCCAAACAAGGTTAAAAACTGGGAGGTGCAACCCAAATCCCAAGGGATTGGGATTGGTTTTAGTTTCTCTGAGCAAATCCAAGGATTCCAGGATTATTTTTCCCCACGGTGATGGTTGTTCATAAAAAATGGGAAGAGCAGTGGCTCAGCCCCAGAGGTCCAGGAGAAATTCCCAGAAAAAGCCATTCTAAATGATGCTAAAATTGGAAAAAAATGGAAAAAAAAATTGTCAAATTGGCAAAAGAAATTGTCAAGTTGTCAAAAACTCCTAAAATTGGAAATATGAATAAAATCATGGCTGGGATTTTTCCCTGGGATATTCAGAGCCCTCTCCAGTGCCAGGGGTTGCCACAGAGCCCTTTGGGATTTGTTGTGTGTCCAGGGAAAATTCCTTCAGAAATGAATGGCCCCAAACATGGATTTTTGGTGCTGCTGGTTCCTCCCTTTTCCCACAATTCCAAGAAATATTTAATCCCCACTGAAGCTCCTGGATCCCAGCATGGGTGTGGAATATTTAGGATGCAGTTTATGAGTTCTAATCCAGGCATTTCTGTCCAAGCTGGGCTTTTAACTTGCCTCTCCTGGCAGCAAACAGGAATTTTGGAAGGAATCGATTTTTTATAAGAAGGGACAATTTTTCCAAGCCAATTCCATGTTTATTGTTTCATCCTTGTGCAGGAGAAACAGGGAAAGCTGCCTGGGGTTGGCAGCTCCTCTAAGAAAATCCTGTTTATTTTGTTTTCCTGGGTATCATCACTGATGGAATTCTGCAATTTTGGGGTTCAATCCCAAAGTTTTTTCCATGCTGTGGCCCTTCCCTCTCTTTCCATGTGCGCCACTGGCTTCATTCCAGGATTTCCCATTTGAAATTCCAAATCCTGCTGGTTTTAAGATTAATTTGGATACCTGCAGGCTAGACCTTGGTTTGGATGGACAGGGATTTACCCATGAACAGACCCCTGGGCATGGGAAATCCATGGAATTCGAGCTGGGGCAGGTGCAGAAATGGGCAGAGGAGTTTTGGATGGAAAATATTTCAGGAAAATTCCTGTTGCCCAACAAATTAAACTAAATAGGATTTTTTTCATCTGAGGTGTCAGAGAATTAGTGAGGGAAGCAGATGGAATCTCCTCCAGAGTGCTGGAATGGGATCAACACCCAGCAGAGCCGTGGGGGTGGGATGGGACCGGCAGGAGCGGGAAAATGGGATGGGAATTGGGGCTGGGAAACCTGGGGGGAGCTTGGGAAGGGCTTGAGCCTGGCCTGGAATGGGATTTGGGCAGCTGGGGCAGACCCTGGGACACTGTGGGGCTGTGGAGATGGGGTTGGGATGGGGCTGGGATTGGGATTGGGATAGGATGGGGATGGGGTTGGGATGGGATTAGGATGGGATTGGGATGGGATGGGGGATGAGGGTGGGATGGGGTTGGGATGGGATTGGGATGGGATTGGGATGGGATTGGGATGGGGTTGGGATAGGATTGGGATGGGGTTGGGATGTTCGCCATCACCAAAGGCATTTGAAATGAGCTGGCAGGGGTTTGTTCCCAAAAACTGTGGGAATGTGTGGTTTGGGGCTGGGTTTTCCCAGGAGGTGACAGCACTTTCTGGCCTTGAGTCTCCAGAATTCCAAACTCCTGGATCAGCCCTTGGCCATGGCTTTGCTGAACTGGGAGGTGACACCTTGGAGGGGCTGGAAGGGAGGGGATCCGAGCACTGGGATGCTCCCGTTTGTCCTGGCAAATCCCAACCTAAACCCATCCCACCTGTGGGGTCTCACTGTGTTTGCCTTGGCAGCTCCTGGGTGAGCAGGGTCTGTTTAGGGAGGATTTTGGGAAGGAATTCCTGGCTGGGAGGGTGGGCAGGCCCTGGCACAGAGTGCCCAGAGCAGCTGGGGCTGCCCCTGCATCCCTGGCAGTGTCCAAGGCCAGGTTGGACATTGGGGCTGGAGCAGCCTGGGACAGGGGAAGGTGTCCCTGCCATGGCAGGGGTGAAACTGGGTGGGGTTTAAAGTCCCTTCCAACCCAAACCATTCCAGGATTCCATGATCCTGTGGGAAAATCCTCTCGGGAGAAGGCAGCAGATCCCTTTGCCAGCACAGTTAAATCCTGAATTCCTGAGATCCACAAAACCTCATCCAGAGTCTCCTCACTGTCCCCTTGTCCCCTGCCCGTGTCCTCCCACCGCTCTCTGTGCAGACCCTGGAGAAGCAGCTCCAGAGCTGGGAATGGCTGGGATTCCCAAGGTTCTCCCAGAGCTGTCAGAAATTGAAATGCACAATGAAATTGTAGGAAAATGCTACAGGATAGTGGGAGGCTGAGGAATGATTCATCCTCCAACTGAAACTCCTCAGATGTGGAGGTGGCACTGCTGGCCACCAGCGTGGATCCAGAGCCAGGAATATTCCAGGTTTAGGTCAAATTGGGCCTCGTTAACAACTTCCCCTGTGAGTCCTTATTCCCAGATGGAGTCTGGGGTTTGCTGGGGTGTGGGAGCAGCGGGAATCCCCAGGAGAGGAGGTGACACCGTGGCTGTGTGGGGACAGGAGCCCACGGGGCTGATCTGAGCTCATCAGTGCTGTTTCCAAAGCCACTCTGTGACTTTTGTCCACTCGTTTTAGTAGAACAGAGGGACTGACCTCGAGTTACTCCACATGGATTTGGTATGTGGGAACCTCCCATCACCCTGAGCTCTGATGTGTGCCAGCCCAAAAGGCTTTTCCAGCTTGGAGCAGCTGCTAAACCCAAAATTCCTTGAAATTTTTGGACATTTTTAATGTCATTTCATGACCAACATTCCCAAGTGGCCTCGGGCTGTGCTGGGGATGGACAGCAGAGGGGCATCCATGAATTCATGAATCCGCAATACTGGAGCCCTCCTGGAGAGTGGGAAGAGCTCAGGTTGGGGAGGGAGGAGCTGGTTTGGTTTGGTGATGTGGGAATGTCACCAAAGTGTCCTGGAACCAAATTCCAGCTGGAAAGGGGAGTTTTCTCCTGGTTTCTCTTCCTTGGAAGTTCAGAGCAGGCTGGAGCTGCTGTTCCAGGGAGGGGGAGCTGGGATCAGGATCTGGGGATGCTCCTGGTGCCGATGGGAGGTGATTTGGGATGAGGCCCAGGAATGGTCTGCTCCTGGCAAACCCTGCTGCTGGATCTCCTCCCTCAGTTGTCAGGGATCTAATATCCAGGTGGGAACATTCCAGCTGTTCCTGAGCTCCTTAACCTCCCCCTTTCCTTCCAGAGGAGACGACGTTCGAGGCCGGAGTCAAGGTGCAGATCCACAGCCAGTCCGAGCCTCCCTTCGTGCAGGAGCTGGGATTTGGGGTGGCCCCTGGATTCCAGACCTTCGTGGCCACCCAGGAGCAAAGGGTAAGTCCCAAATTCCTGTTCCATCCCAGGATCCCTCCGGGGCATCCTGGGAGAGGTTCCTTCTCCATAATTGATACCCCTTGAGATGCAGCTCCATCATTAACAGGTGGTTTTTGATGCCTTGCTTCAGATTTCATGGGATGAGGGCAGCTTTTCCAGGTTATCTCTCATGGTTATTCCAGAGTCCTGCATTCCCACAGTTCCTTAAAGTCCCACAGTAATTCCATCTCCAGGATGGATTTCATCCCTGGTGACTCCCCTGCTTTGCTCTTCCATGGTTGGAGCTGAGCTGTGGCAGCTCCGAGTGTTGGGTCCTGTCCAACCCACTGGGGTTTCCCGGAAAAAACACATTCCAGGGATATAAAAAGAGACAGGAGGACAGAGTTTCCTGATGGAGAACGCTGGGAATCTTTCAGGTGACACCAAAACATCCACATGATTGATGGCAAACTCTCCTGGGATACCTGGAAATCATTGTCTTACATGGATCCCAGCAGTGACACATCCAGATGGATGCATGGATCATGGAGGATGGAGGGATGGATGATGGATGATGGATGGATGGATGGATGATGGATGGATGGATGGGGGATGGATGGATGGATGGATGGGGGATGGATGGATGGATGGATGGATGGATGGATGGATGGATGGATGGATGGATGGATGGATGGATGATGGATGATGGATGGATGGGGGATGGATGATGGATGGATGATGGATGGATGGATGGTTGGATGGATGGATGATGGATGGATGGATGGATGATGGATGATGGAGGATGGATGGATGGATGGATGGATGGATGGATGGATGGATGGGGGATGGATGGATGGATGGATGGATGGATGGATGGATGGATGGATGATGGATGGATGATGGATGGATGGATGATGGATGGATGGATGATGGATGGATGATGGATGGATGGAGGAATGGATGGACGGATGGATGGATGGATAGAGGAATGGATGGATGATGGATGGATGATGGATGGATGGACAGATGGGCAGGGATGGAAAGGGCTGGACAGGGCATCATGTGGTTCCTGATGCTCAAAGATTTTGGGAACAGCTCCTCAAGTCAGACCCACCTGGCAGCTCCAGCAGTGATTGAAAAGATTTGTCTTCCTTAAAAATCCTGTCCTGAGCAGGATTTTGGAGCAGGGCTGGGAGCTGGAGCCTGCAGAGAGGATCTCAAGGGCTTTGGGTTAAATTGGTGCAAATTCCAGGACTTTGCTGCAGCTGCTGAAATCCTTCCCCACCCCATTGCCAGCACTGCCTATTCCAATATTTCCATTGAAAAATGAGAATTCCATCCAGAACATTATCCCGGTGAGAGAGGGGGGAAAACATTCCTCCCCAAATCCCCCCTTCCATGTGGGAGATGTGGAGGACAGAAGAACAGATTTAGGGACTCTCAGCTCCAGGGTGTCCCTTTTTCCAGGGGTTTTGCCAGAGTTTTGGGAGAGGGAAGGGCTCATTCCTGGGATTTTCTGACTGGTTTAAAATCATCTGAGGGCTCCAAAGCCTTTTCTCAGGAGAGCTGGAGGAATCTTCAGCATTCAGCTCCCACCCCAATCCCTCTTCTTAGAAAGTAATTCTTAACCTAATTACAGCCATTTATAACTTCCTCTAATTAATTATTAGTCTTTAGGGACCTTGGGCTTCCCCCACCTTCCCAATATGCAGCTTTTATTCTAATCCCTGATTTAGTCTGGGTTTTTCCAACTAAATCTCTCTTCCTGTGCTGCTCCTTTAATAAACCAGAGCCGAAGGTGGAACAGCTCCAGTAAATCCCCCAGGAACTGAGCCCAGGCAGTTATTGGGGTCCTGAACCCAGAGTTTTACACCCTGGGCCATAAAACAAATGATCCTGCAGCTGGAAAAAAAAACAGGAATAAAGAAAAAGTGGAGCTGATTTCCCTTCTTCCAGCTCAGAGCAGCCTTGGGGAGATAAAAGCTCTTTTTACAGAGATAAAAAGTGTAGAGTGGGGAAGATTTGGAATGGTGGGAGCTGTGGATCCTCTGTGGGACAGAATTTGGGGTGTGGGGGGTTCATTCCTGGCTCTGAAATCATTCCCTGTGGCCCTGCTCAAATCCCTCCCTTCTTTCCCCATCCCACTCTGGAATCAGAGCATTCCCTGGCCTTTGCTCCCTGATTTTCTGCCTTCCCAGGGCTGCAGCTGCTCAGCACCAGTGAGGATTCACATCTTGGGACCGGGGCATAAATCCTGGCTTTCCACTCAGAGCTTCCCCAAATCCCCCTGTCCAGAGCCAGCTCTGGTTCGTGGTTGGCATCTCATTAAAAATCTCCCTTCACAAGGAGCTCTCAGGCTGGAAAAATGGGAATTAAATCAGCTTTGCTCCTCCTCCTGCAGTGGCTGAGCCCCGTGGTTCCTGTACGGAGACACTTCTGGGATGCATTTCCCACCTTGGGAGTTACTGCAGGAGTGACCTTGGGAGGGACCTGGCAGTGGCAGGGTGGAAATGCTGAGTCAGCAGCAAAAACTCCTGAGAAAGCAATTCCAGCAGGAGGTTTGGCCATAAAATGTGGTGGATGGGTTAAAGAGCCCAAGCTGCTTCTGGACACGTGGCCAAGGGAGATGTTTCCTGGTTAAAAAAACGTGGGATTGTTCATCCTGGAGGAGCCACCAGGGGTGACCAAACTGGGACCTTCCAGAACCTGGAGGGGCTGCAGGGAAAATGGGGAGGGAAAAGGGACAGAGGGACAGGGCACAGGGAATGGCTCCCAGTGCCAGAGGGCAGGGCTGGATGGGATATTGGGAATTGGGAATTGTTCCCTGGCAGGGTGGGCAGGCCCTGGCACAGGGTGCCCAGAGCAGCTGGGGCTGCCCCTGGATCCCTGGCAGTGCCCAAGGCCAGGCTGGACACTGGGGCTTGGAGCAGCCTGGGACAGTGGGAGGTGTCCCTGCCATGGCAGGGGTAGGAATTAAATGGTTTTTAAGGTCCCTTCCATCCAAACCATTCCAGGATTCTCTTAGGCAATGGATGGAGATGAGGCAGAGCCTATAAGAGGCAGAGAGTGGGAAGTCAGGAAGAGCCATCAGATCCGAGGATGAGGGAATGGTTTGGGTTTCCTGCTCCCTCTGCACCCTGTGGAAAAGAGGAATTTATAAAAAGGTGGAAAAGTGAGGACAGGAGAACTTCAGAGTCCAATTCCTCCCAGCCCCCAAACTGACAACTCTGCCAGAGTTTGGGAGTTGGGTCCAACAAATCCAGGCAGAATGTTCTGGAAGAATGAGGGGGAATGGTCTGGCTGCCTCTGGATGTGCCAGGGAATGAGCAGGAGGAGAGGCAGAGTTTCCTGGAGCAGGGCAGGGGGAATCCCCATCCCTGAGGGGCTTCATCCGTGTGGATGTGACATCTGGGGACATGGGGCAGTGGTGGCCTCAGTCTCAGAGGGCTTTTCCAACATTTAGAATTCCATAATTCCACATTATTGGGGATTTAAGGCTGATTTTGCACCTGAGCCACAGCTCCAGCCCATCCAGGGGAAGCAGGAGTGGGAGCAAACCTGGGATGAGGCTCTGGAGAGGCTGCCCTGGACTTTTTATGGATCTGCAGGAGGTCTCAGTGCTGCTGTTCCTATTGGATTTGCAAAGAAGGATCCTGGAGCTCCAAAATCCCAATTTTCCCTGGGCACTCATGGGCCCTGTAACACCCCTGAGCTCTGCCCCAAGGGGCTGGAAGGGTCAAATTCATCCCTGAAAACCAATTCCTCAGGAAGGGAGCAAATGGGAAGGAACAGGCAGGATGGGAAAGGAGCTGGAGAGGCAAACAGACAATTCCAGCACCAATTCCAGTTCCAGCATCATTAACTGGGAGCTGGGATAAGCCAGCCGTGGCTGCTCTGGGATTTTCAGCATTCCACAAGGGCTGGAGCTGCTTGGGATGGGAATTCCAAGAAGCTGCTGCTGCTGCTGGAGGTCTCCTTAAGGAAGGGAGGGTTCTGGTTCTGGTTTCATTGGGAACCCAGCCCAGGTGGGGATGTTCAGGGAGGGCTTGGATCCTTCCTTGGGATCGCTGGAGTTTGGTGCCATCAGGCACGTGGGGTCTGGGCAGGAATTGGTGCTGGATCTATCCCAGAGCCAGAGGGGAATGGGGCAGGGAAAGGTTCTTCCCCATAGGTGCTGGCACTGCCCAGGGAATGGTGTGAGCTGAGCCAGGGGGATTTGGGATGGAGCTCAGGGAAAGGTTCATCCCCCAGAGGTGCTGGCACTGCCCAGGGAATGGTCCCAGAGCTCCAGGAGGGTTTGGACACCACTCCAGGGATGCCCAGGGTGGGATTGTTGGGATCCTGGGGGATTGTTGGGATCCTGGGGGATTGTTGGGATCCTGGGCAGGAGCAGGGACTGGACTCAATCCTTGTGAGACCCCTCCCAACCTGGAATATTCCAGGGTTTTATCAAACTGCTCCAAGCTCTGCTGGGATCATCTCCACCACGTTTCCCTGTTTGAGAAAATGAAACAGGCAGGGAAATCAGGGATAGCACTTCCAGGTAATTGAAGGAGTAACCTCTGGCTGTGGGCAGATGCTCTGTGCCAGGAGCAGTGTGGAAAGGCAGGAATGTGGCCAGGGAAGGGCTGTGGAAGGAGCTGATCCTCCCCTGCCCCAGGGTCTCATCCCTCCAGGTTTTCCAAGCTCATCCCCTCTTTTCCTGGTGTTTGGGACAAGCAGTATCCATCCAGCTTCCAAGGAGTCAAATGAATTTTTTCCTTCCCCTTTTAGCACCTGCCAGCTGGGAACTGATCCCGGTAATCCTGGAGAAAGCCGGGATCAGGAGGGCTGGAAAAGCGTTTAATTCATTAATTAATTATTAATGACTGCAAAAGGGCCAGACTGGGAGTCTGTCACCCTCAATTAGAGGCTGGAACTGGATTTCTCTATGCAGGAGCAGGAGGAAGAGCCCTGGGGAAGCTGCCAGGGAGCACAAATCATGCAGGATCCAAGGGCAGGGATGTTCCTGCTGCTTTGCTGTGGTTTGTTCCCACTTTGGGGGCAGCAGGGGAGGGTGGATGTGGCATTTACATTCTCTGAACAGAGAGAGACATCATTCTCTCTAACAGGATTTTTCCTGGAGAAGCACAGAGAGAAGAAGAGAAAAACAATTCTTATCTCTATTCTGTGGTCCTGTTTTTGCACACGTGGAATGTGTTATGGGGATTGTTTACCCAAAGTGATTTGTTAATTGGATTCTGCTGGGGATTGTTTTGTTTCCTTGGCCAGTTGGGTCAAAGCTGTGTCCTGGCTGCCTCAGACAGTCAGGGGTTTTTCTTTAGTATTCTCTAGTATCAGTTTAGTATAGTTATAATATAGTATTAATATAATATAATTAATATAATATAGTGTAGTGTTAATAAAGCAATTGTTCAGCATTCTGAATCATGGATCAGATGCCAATCATGGATCAGATGCCAATCATTGCCTGGTGTTGGGGTCACCCTGCATTCCACAGGTGGAGGGAGCAGCTCCACATCCCAGGGCTGATCCAGCCCCAATCCCTCCCAACCCCCAGCTGGGATAATCTGGCAGAAAGGAAAGGGATTGATTCCCTCAGGAGGAGGAGGATCTGGAGGGGCTGCAGGGAGAGGGATCAAGCCCAATGAAGTCTCTCCCATTAATTCTTCCCAAGCTGAGGGCTGGGATTGCTCCCTCCATCCTGCTCCTGCTCCTTGGGGTGCCTTTCCCAGCAGCTCCAGGGCCACAAGAGCAGGAATCCAGCTCTGAAAGGAGTTCAGCAGCTCCACAGGACCGAGGCTTTGCATGGAAAGGCTTTTCCTGAGGTTTCAGCCCTAATTTGGCCAGGAAGGGGTTCAGGGGAGCCCTTAGGGATGGATTCCCCCTGGATTTAAGCCCAGGGATTCTTGTGCCAGGCTGGGAGCAGCAGCTGGGGGAAAACTCCAGACATTTCCAGGGAATGTGCAGATCCTCCTGCTTGGGACAGTTTGGTGGAGCTCTTGCAGTTTGTAAAGCAGAGTCTGCCAGGCAGAAATTCCAGCTGATCCCTCCACAGCTGCTCCCACTCCCGAGATGTTCATTGTCACCTGGGAGTGTCACCTCCAGGACATTCACTGTCACCTGGGAGTGTCACTCAGTGGCACTGGGACACTCACAGCTTGTCCCAGTGAGTTATCCCAGGAGTCAGGGAGCTCCTGGGAGGGGGGATGCCCTGAGGGGCTGCCCTGTGACAGGGGACATGTCCTGCCCTGACCCTGTCCCCAGCTGATGTTCCTGTCCCCAGCTGACGTATCTGCCCCCAGCTGACCCCTGTGCTGCCCTGTCCCTATCTGATGTCCCTGTGTGTCCCCAGCTGACCCCTGTCCCTGTCCCCAGCTGATGTCCCTGTCCTGTCCCTGTCCCCAGCTGACCCCTGTGCTGTCCTGTCCCCATCTGATGTCCCCATGTATCCCCATCTGACACACCTGTCCCCATGTGTCCCCAGCTGATAGCCCTGTCCCTGTCCCCATCTGATGTCCCTGTGTGTCCCCAGCTGACAGCCCTGTCCCTGTCCCCATGTGCCTCCATCTGATGTCCCTGTCCCCAGCTGACAGCCCTGTCCCCCTGTGTCCCCAGCTGACCTCTGTGCTGTCCTGTCCCCAGCTGACAGCGCTGTCCCTGTCCCCATCTGATGTCCCCATGTGTCCTGAGCTGACCCCTGTGCTGTCCCCATCTGACAGCCCTGTCTCTGTCCCCATGTGTCCCTGTCTGATGTCCCCTGTGTCCCCAGCTGACAGCCCTGTCCCTGTCCCCATCTAATGTCTCTGTCCCCAGTTGACCCCTGTGCTGTCCCCATGTGTCCCCAGCTGACCCCTGTCCCCAGCTGATGTCCCTGTGCCATCCCTGTCCCCATCTGATGTCCCTGTCCCCAGCTGATGTCCCCCTGTGTCCCCAACTGACCCCTGTGCTGTCCCCCTGTGCCCCTATCTGATGTCCCTGTGCCCAGCTGATGTCCCTGTCCCGGTCCCCATCTGATGTCCCCGTCCCCAGCTGATGTCCCTGTCCCTGTCCCCAGCTGACCCCTGTCCCTGTCCCCATCTGATGTCCCTGTCCCCAGCTGATGTCCCTGTCCCTATCCCCATCTGATGTCCCTGTCCCCAGCTGATGTCCCTGTCCCTGTCCCCAGCTGACATACCTGCCCCCGCCGTGGGGCGAGTGCCGCTCCCCGGAGCTGGGCCTGGCGTTCTTCCCGGTGTACAGCGTGACAGCCTGCAGGATCGACTGTGAGACACGCTACATCGTGGAGAACTGCAACTGCAGGATGGTGCACATGCCAGGTCAGGGATGGGGACAGCTGGGGACAGCAGGGGACAGCAGGGGATGGGATGGAGGGACAATTCCCGGTGTACAGGGTCACAGCCTGCAGGAACAGCTGGGGACAGCTGGGACACCTGGGAATGGGATGGAGGGACAATTCACATGCCAGGTCAGGGACAGGGACAGCTGGGGACAGCAGGGGACTGCAGGGGACAGCAGGGATGGGCTGGAGGGACAGTCAGGGACAGGGACACTGGGAACAGCTGGGGACAGTGGGGACACCTGGGGATGAGCTGGAGGGACGATTCACATGCCAGGTATGCACAGGGACACTGGGGACAGCGGGGACACCTGGGGATGGGATGGAGGGACAATTCACATGCCAGGTCAGGGACAGGGACAGCAGGGGACAGTGGGGACAGATGGGCTGGAGGGATAGTCAGGGACAGGGACACTGGGAACAGCTGGGGACAGTGGGGACACCTGGGGATGGGCTGGAGGGACGATTCACATGCCAGGTATGGACAGGGACACTGGGGACAGCGGGGACACCTGGGGATGGGATGGAGGGACAGTCAAGGACAGGGACACTTGGAGGGACAGTTGGGGCATAGACTGGAAGGACAGGCTGTGTGCCAGCTCAGTGACAAAGACACCTGGGGATAGGCTGGAGGGACAATTCACATGTCAGGTCAGGGATAGGGACACTGGGGACAGCAGGGACAGCTGGGGATAGAGGGATGGTCAAGGACAGGGACACTGGGGGACAGTTGGAGCATAGATTGGAGGGACAGGCCATGTGCCAGATCGGTGACAAGGACACCTGGGGGATGCTGAAAGCTGGGCTGGAGGAACAGGCCATGTGCCAGGTCAGGGACAGGGGAGACATCTGGGCACAGCTGGGGATGGGCTGGAGGGATGGTCAAGGACAGGGACACCTGGGAGGACACTTGGGGGTGGGCTGGAGGGACTGGCCACATGTGAGGTCAGGGACAGGGACACTGGGAACAGCTGGGGACAGCAGGGATGCCTGGGGATGGACTGGAAGGGACAGTCAAGGACAGGGACACCTGAGGACAGTGGAGACACCTGGGCATGGGCTGGAGGGATGGTCAAGGACAGGGACACTGGGGGACAGTTGGAGCATAGATTGGAGGGACAGGCCATGTGCCAGATCGGTGACAAGGACACCTGGGGGATACTGAAAGCTGGGCTGGAGGAACAGTCCACATGCCAGGTGAAGGACAGGGACACCTGGGGACACCTGGGGCTGGACTGGAGGGACTGGGGGTACCTGAGGGAAGAAGGTGCCCCTGGCCTTTGGGAAAGGCTGGATGTGAGCCAGCAGGGCCATCCCTGTCCTGGGGGATCAGGGACAGTAGAGGGGCAGGGAGGGATTGTCCAGCCCTGCTCTGGGTTGGGGCAGCTTCACTGAGAGTTCTGGGGCAGCTTTGGGCACCACAAAATAAAAAAGACATCAAGGAAATCAAGAGGGTCCAAAGGAGGGACACGAGGATGGGGAAGGGTCTGGAGGGGCCACACGAGGAGCAGCTGAGGGCACTTGGTCTGTTCAGCTGGAGCAGAGGGGGCTGAGGGCTGAGCTCAGTGAGCTCCTCAGGAGGGGGCACAGAAGGGGCAGCTCCCATCTCTGCTCCCTGTGACAGGGACAGGAGCCAGGGAATGGCTGGAGATGGGCCAGGGGTTTGGGATGGAGCTCAGGGAAAGGTTCTCCCCCCAGAGGTGCTGGCACTGCCCAGGCTCCCCAGGGAATGGTCCCAGAGCTCCAGGAGGGTTTGGGGCTGCCAGGGATGCCCAGGGTGGGAGTGTTGGGGTGCAGGGCCTGGGGGTCCCTTCCAACCCAGGATATTCCAGGATTCCCTGTGAAACAGGGCCAAGCCATGCAAGAGAGACCTGGGTGTGGTGAAGGTTGGAAAAGGCTTCTGTGGTGATCAGATCCCCCCTGGGTGCTGTTCCCAGCAGCTCCTGCAGGACAAGGCCCCTGTGGCGGGCAGAGCTGGGGACAGCCGGGGTCACCTGGCTGCAGGGGGGTCCCTGGGTGTCCCCCTGAGATGGCTTTGTCCTGTCCCTGCAGGGGATGCTCCCTTCTGCACCCCGGAGCAGTACAAGGAATGCGCAGAGCCCGCGCTCAGTGAGTACCGGGGAGCCCTGGATCCAGGCATGGAATGTTCATGGAATTCCAGCGGCCTGGGTCTTCCTGGCTGGGCAGGAACAGGGGATCTGCAGCCTGGAGAGGGGCTGGGATTAGCCCCAGGTTGCTGGGAAGTGCTGGATGCAGGCTGGGATGGAGTTTCTCCTGGTTCTCCATGGGGCACAGAAACCCTTGGGATCAGGGGAGAGGGTTTGGGGTGGAGGGACCCATTCCAAGCCCGGATTTAGGGACTCAGCCACCAGTTCTCCAAGATGTTGTTGATGACTGTGTCATCTCCAGCAAGAGGCCTCTCCAAGGGGGTGAGAACTGGGATGAACTGGGAGAGAAATCGCAAGAGTCCAAAAGTCCCAGAGAAATGTCTGGAACTTCAGGAACAGCCTCATCCCAGAATCTTGGCCCCTTTGTGGGAGGGATGATCTCTGCTCTTGCCCTGCTCCGTGTCCCTGCTCCATGGGGTCCCTCCCTGCTCCATGGGACCCCGTGTGCTCCATGCCTGCCCCCCTGCAGGTCTCCTGGCAGAGAAGGACAGCAATTACTGCATCTGCAGGACCCCCTGTAACCTCACCAGGTACAACAAGGAGCTCTCCATGGTCAAGATCCCCAGCAAGACCTCGGCCAAGTACCTGGAGAAGAAGTTCAACAAGTCAGAAAAATACATCTCGTGAGTGGGGGAGGACCTGGATTCCTTTGGGTTTTGGGAGGGAAATGTCTGGGAAATGCCCAGTCCTGGCCAATCCATCCCCAGCACAGGGATGGCCTCCAGGGAAGAGCAGAGTGAAAACCTGGGAGAGATGAGGTTGATTTCTTCTCAGTAGATTTCTTCTCTAAGTTCCTTCCCAAGGATTGTCCTCATGGGAATCCTCCAGTCCCACCAAAAAAAGTCCAAAATGCTTGGTCCAAAGACCACTTTGCCGGTCCTGTGGGAGATTTGTATCTCTGGGCTGAGCTCCTCAGGCCATGGAGCTCTCCCAGCCCTGGGCATGTGATTGCTGTGTGTGGGAAGTGAGAGTTCTTCCAGATCCCTTGGATTCTCTTCACAGAATCATGGAATGGTTTGGGTGGGAAGGGACCTTAAACCCACCCAGTTTCACCCCTGCCATGGCAGGGACACCTCCCCCTATCCCAGGGTGCTCATATCCCCAGTGGATCAATGGACACTGCCAGGGATCCAGGGGCAGCCCCAGCTGCTCTGGGCACCCTGTGCCAGGGCCTGCCCACCCTCACAATCAGGAATTACCATCCAAGAGAAGAGTTCTCAGCAAAGTGAGATCCAGGATCCTGAGGAGTTCTGGGGAAACCTTTCCCAGCTGCTTCAAAAGCTCCCAGAGCCCTCAGGGTGCCCTGAGCTCCTGGTCTGCACCAGCTCCAGGTTCTGTGGGTTCTGAGGACCCCAGAGAGAGGAACAATCCATACAAAGGGGAATAAAGCCCCAAAACCCCATTTTTCCCTTATCCCAGAGGACTGAACCACCGGTGGCTCCTGGGCTGATGTTTTTCCTGTTCCCACAGAGAGAACATTCTCGTGCTGGACATTTTTTTTGAAGCACTCAACTATGAGACCATTGAGCAGAAGAAAGCCTATGAAGTGGCAGCCTTACTTGGTAAGGGAGGACTGGGACCAGTTTGGGGTCTCTGCTGGTCTGGGAGGGACAGAGAGAGGCTGGGAGGGGTCCACAGCCTTGAAACCCCCAGCAAGGCCCCAGGTCTGCTTTCCTCACCTCACCACGGCATCCCAGGGATGTCCCCATGGATACTCTGTGCTCATGGAAAGTTCTGGAGCTGCTCCATCCCTGCCTGATCCCTTTTCTGGAGATTTTGGGGTTGGGTGGGTGCTGGGTGCTCTCTGTGGCGCAGGGTGTGGGGGACACCCCAAAACCATGTCCCCATCACCTCTTCCCTGCTCCAAACCCAAGTTTCCAAGCCAGACTTGAGCTCTTGGCCTTCAGCTGCTCCGTGGAGGAGGAGGAGAAGACCCATGGAAGGTTCTGCTCCATCCCTGCCTGCTCCCAGCACCCATTTTTGGGGATTCTACTCCCCTGGGCAGTGTGTGGCGAGAACATCCCAAAACCATCTCCCGTCACCTCTTCCCTGCTCCAATCCATCCTTTCCAGCAGGAGGTGGAGGAGACACATGGAAGGTTCTGGAGCTGCTCCATCCCTGCTTGATTCCAGCTCCCCAGTTTTGGAGATTTGGGGTTGGGTGGGTGCTGGGTGCCCTCTGTGGTGCAGGGTGTGGGGGACATCCCAAAACCATCTCCCCATCACCTCTTCCCTGCTCCAAATCCACCTTTTCCAGCCAGGCCAGGGCCCTTTGCCTTTGGAGCCTCATGGAGGAGCTGCAGGAGACCCTGAGCTGCTCAGCCCCAAATCAGCTCCAGCTCTGGGGTCCCAGCTGCAGATTTGGGATTTGGGCTGGGGGTGAGCCCTCGCCCAGCCCTGCAGCCTCCCTGGATCCCTCTGGAATGCTGGGGGTGCTCAGCCCCTTGGGGAGCTGGAGCTGGAGCACAGAGGTGTCCCCATGTCACCCCACATGGGTGGCCCTGCCAAAAGCCCCCTCAGGAGCCCTTCTGCACCTCCTGGGGCTTTTCCAGGAATTCCAGGCAGGAAGAGGAGGCTGCTGGAGCCTCTCTGACCCCAACCCCGTGTGCACCTCATGGCACCCTCATTCCCAGGGCTCTGGAACTTCAGGAACAGCCTCATCCCAGAGTATTTTTCCCAGGCCCAAAGCCTCCAGGTGAATCCCCCTGGTGTAAACCCAGAACACCTCCTGGGATCATTCAGGGTTCTCACCTTGATCCCAAGCTTTTCCCCCTCTTTCCTCTCTCCATCCCTCATGGACACCTCTGGAAAAGGCCCCTTCCCCTCACCCATGGGTGCCTTTGCCCTGGGGGTCAATCCAGGGCTGTTTTCCAGCAAAATCCATGGGATTTGTCTTCCCTGAGCACCACATCCCAGTCACCTTCTGTGACCGTGTTCACAGGGGTTCTTGGATTAGGGAAGAGATGAGGATTTGACTTTGTTTAAGAAGGCTTGATTTATTATTTTATTATATATATTACATTAAAACTATACTAAAAGAATAGAAGAAAAGGTTTCATCAGAAGGCTGGCTAAGAATAGAAAGGAATGATAACAAAAGCTTGTGGCTCAGGCTCTCTGTCCAAGCCAGCTGACTGTGATTGGCCATTAATTAGAAACAACCACATGAGCCCAATCCCAGATGCACCTGTTGCATTCCACAGCAGCAGATAACCATTGGCACAGCAGCAGATAACCATTGGGTACATTTTGTTCCTGAGGCCTCTCAGCTTCTCAGGAGGAAAAATCTTAAAGAAAAGGTTTTGCATAAAAGATGTCTGTGACACCATCCCAGGCTGGGGACAGGGAAGGGAATCCCTTCCCACTTTTTGCCAGGTTAGGGTTTCTCCTTGGCTCCAGGGACATTCATTCTTCCCAGCACCTTGCCCAGAGGGGGAATTGGGATTCCTGGGATGCAGCCTGGAGGACTCCAGGCTCCATTAGCAGGAAAACATTTTGGGGGCGCCCATTTTGGGGTCAGGCCCATTCTCGGGACACCACCGATGCCATTGCAGACCCTGCTGCTCCGGGGGGAATTGTTCCCAATTTTGGAGGATGACAGCTCCCAGGCAGGGCCCAGCAGTGCCTGGAGCCCTCACGGTGCTGTCCCCTGCAGGTGACATTGGTGGCCAGATGGGGCTGTTCATCGGGGCCAGCATCCTCACCATCCTCGAGCTCTTCGATTACCTGTACGAGGTAAGGCCTTCCCAGCCCAGGACAGCCCAGGATATCCCATCCTGGAGCCCCTTAGCCCAGGATCTCACACCCTGAAGCTCCTCATCCCTGTTTTTGCCACTCCTGGTCCCCTTCATCCCTGGATTTGTCCTTCATCCCCAGATTTGCCACTCCTGGAGCCCCTCAGCCCAAGATTTCTCTTCCTGATGCCCCCTCATCCCTGGATTTGTCCTTTATCCCAAGATTTGCCACTCCTGGAGCCCCTTAGCCCAGGGTATCCCAACTGGATCCTCTCAGCCCAGGATTTCCCACCCTGGGGCCCCTCAACCCTGTTTTTGCCATTCCTGGTGCCCTTCATCCCCAGATTTGCCCCTCCTGCTGCTCCTCAACCCTGGATTTGTCCTTCATACCCAGATTTGCCTTTCCTGCCCCTCATCCCCACATTTGCCACTCCTGGTGTTCCTCATGCCTGGATTTGCTATCCTCGAGTCCCTCAGCCCAGGATTTCCCATCCTGGTGCTCCTCATCCCCAGATTTGACTTTCCTGCCCCTCGTCCCCAGATTTGCTACTTCTGGAGCCCCCCAGCCCAGGATATCCCACCTGGATCCCCTCAGGCCAGGATATCCCAGGATTTCCCACCCTGGGGCCCCTCATCCCTGTTTTTGCCACTCCTGGTGCTCCTCATCCCCAGATTTGCCACTCTTGGTGCTCCTCATCCCTGGATTTCCCATCCTTGAGCCCCTCATCCCTGGATTTCCCATCCTCAAGCCTCTCATCCCTGGATTTCTGATGTCTCTCATCCCCAGATTTCCCATCCTGGAGCCCCTCAGCCATGTTTTTGCCACTCCTGGTACCCCCTTGTCCCCACATTTTCCATTCCTGATGCCCCCTCATCCCTGGATTTGCCCTTCATCCCTGGATTTCCCACCCTGGAGCCCAAGATTTCCCATCCTGCTGCTCCTCATCCCTGGATTTGCCACTCCTGGTGCCCTTCATGCCTGGATTTCCCATCCTGGTGCTCCTCATCCCAGGATTTCTGGAGCCCCTCATCCCTGTTTTTGCCATTCCTGGTGCTCTTCATCCCTGGATTTTCTGTTCCCTGGGGATCCCAGAGCCCCCCCAAAATCCTGTATTTCCAACCTGCCTCATCCAGCTCTGGCACAGCCCCAGCTCAGGGTGGGAACAGGGAGTTTTATTGCCATGGGATGGGAGAGTTTTCCATTTTATTCATTGTTGTCCATTTGATTTAATGAGTCCCAATCCAGGCTGGGGACACGTCCCATTCCAGGGAAGGGAACCCCACAATCCCAGCTCTGAACTCACTTCAAATCCTCTCATTTTCTTCTTTTTTTTTTTTATATTTTTATATTTTCAGACAATTGCCCCCATCCCAATCCCTCCTGGGCAGCTCCAGCATTGGTGCCATTAGCCAGGAATAAAAAACATGGAAAAATTCCAGACCTAAAGCTCAGATATCAACAAAAGCAGAGCCTGAATTTAGAGCTCGGCCTGGATACCCAAATATTTCATTAAATTTGACTTCCTGGATTTCTTGGGGATTTTTCCTAATTAGGCCATAAGAAACCTCACAAATTTGGGGTTTTCCTCCCTGTTTTCCTTCTTTCTTTGACATCTGCTCATAAAATTTGTCAAATGTGGAGGTTTTGCTGCACTTTTTATTTTTTTCTTCTTATTTGGGCTTAAAATTCATTTTGTCCCCTCAAGAGAAGCTCCCTGGGGATTCCCCAGCAGGAGAATCTTCACAATCCTAGATATTTAACCCCCACCAGCCAGGAAAAAAGGAATAAAATACCTTAAAATTAAAAAAAAAAATCCACATCGTTTTCCCCTCTGCTCGGAGTTTCACAAAGGGGGGGTCAGCACCTCAAAAATTGGAGTTTTCACCCAAAATATTTAGACATTCTTGGAATGGCAGCAACCAGATACAATTTTTTTTTTCATGGATTGGCCAAATTTGGGGAAAATATTGACCCTAAAGAGGCTTTTCTGTGATCTTCTGCTGAGCTCTGTCCTCCTGGTCCCAAATTCCCACCACACTTCCCTGCACCAGCCAGGATCCATATTCCTTAGGAACTGACCCAATTTTTTGGGATTTCAGCTTTCTTCTTGTTGGTTTTATTTCTCTTTTCTCCCAGTGGGAGCTTTCCAGTAAAACACTTCCCAAGTTTTATGGGATTTCCCTGGAATCCAAATCCTGCAGCAGCAGAAAGATGAGGGGGCTGGGAAGGGAAATGGAGCTCACAGAGCTGGGAGCTTTCCCTGAACCCCAAAAGTGTCCCAAAAATGGAATTTTTGTGGGTTTTATTCCTTGTAAGAGAATGCTGGAATGGTTTGGATGGAAGACACCTTAAGGATCATTGAATTCCCACCCCTGCCATGGCAGGGACACCTTCCACTGTCCCAGGCTGCTCCAAGCCCCGTCCCACCTGGCCTTGGGCACTGCCAGGGATCCAGGGGCAGCCCCAGCTGCTCTGGGCACCCTGTGCCAGGGGCTGCCCACCTGTCAGAACCCAGGAAATTCCTCTGGCTGCCCTGGATGGCTCAAGACCCTGCCAGGGGGCTCAGAGACCTTGATTTTAGCCCATGGAAACAATTACCAACCTTGTGTGAGGAGTTACAAGCCACAGGAGTTTGAGTAGAATGACAGTGAATTTATCACAGGGTGAAAATGTAGAATTTTGGGGGTTTAGAATGGGGGTTCAAGAGGCAAGATGGAGGAATCTGGGTGTGTCCTGTCCTTCTCCTTCTCCTTCTTGTCCTCCATCTTCTGCTGGGATGGTGATTGGTTTAGGATAGAGACAGACTGTCTAACATAGGTGATTGGTATTGGAAAATTATTGTAAATAAAGTACAGGTAGTTTTTAGTATAAAAAGCCAACACCACCCCAAGGGCAGTCAGTGTGCCATGAACCAACGTGCTGGACAGATCTCAGCAGGTCAGAGAGAGAATGGAATAGATAACGGAAAATAAACAACCTTGAGAACCAGAGCTGAGGAATCTTGACTTCTTCAGTCACAGGGCTGGGAAAAAGAGACTCTTGAATACCTCGGGAGCCATTCCAGCAACACAAAACACAAGACCCACCCTCCCAGGGAACAATTCCCAATTCCCAATATCCCATCCATCCCTGCCCTCTGGCAGTGGGAGCCATTCCCTGTGTCCTGTCCCTCCATCCCTTGTCCCCAGTCCCTCTCCAGCTCTCCTGGAGCCCCTTCAGGCCCTGGCAGGGGCTCTGAGCTCTCCCTGGAGCTTCTCCTCTCCAGGTGAGCCCCCCCAGCTCTCCCAGCCTTTCCCTGGCCCAGCCCTTGGAGCTTCCTCCGTCTCCCAACCCTTTGGAATGCAGCCCCAAACCCAGCCCCACCCAGTGCTCCCCATCCCCCTGCAGCCTCTTCCCACCCTAATCCTGCTCCCTCCTCTTGCAGCTGATCAAGGAGAAGTTATTGGACCTTCTTGGAAAAGAGGAAGAGGACGGGAGCCATGAGGAGAACGTGGTAAGGGGAGAAGGGCTCACAGAGGGGGCTCCTCCAGCCAGGTCCAATGAGCTCCTGGAGATCTGTATCACACCCGAGATAGCTCAGCTACCTCAGATGGCATCAAACCAGCAGGATTCTGTGATAGGAAACAGAAAATTTTAATGAAAGGCAAAATAACAAAGCTCTTTACAGAGAAAAACCCAGCCAGGGCAAGAGGTTCTTGCTCCTGACAGAACACCCCACAAAAGCAATTGGTTCCTTTGTTCTCTTCTTTTCTAGTAAATTGCTTAGGAGGGACCTTTTGGCTTCTGTCTAATTGGATATCCTTAAGTTTGAGGTGAAGTCCCCAAGGTCCTATGAGGTGTCTTTTTACCCAATTGAGGAGAGAAACTTCTGGGCTTTTTTCTTTTTTAAGGAGACAAAGCATAATTTGGTCACTCTGTCAACAGGGGACACATTCCTACAAAGGGGAAATGCCCTGGGGACACTGGAGCTCTTCCCACGTGTGTCAGGTTATTAAAATTATAATTAGAGATGCCTCTGCCCCAGTCAAGCTGCAAAATGGGACCAGATGCCAGTGACAATAGTCTGGGGTTTAGAAGAACTTTACAAGAACAGGGCGACACAATTACCAAACAATCATGGCATTTAACAATCACATCATTTCTTGTGGCCATTAAATGATTACACAGGTGCGGTTTTGCATGATCCAGTAAAGCCTGACATTGTCCCAGGGCCTACCCTAACATTGTCCCAGGGCCTACTCTGACATTGTCCCAGGGCCTACCCTGACATTGTCCCAGGGCCCACTCTGACATTGTCCCAGGGCCTACCCTGACATTGTCCCAGGGCCCACTCTGACATTGTCCCAGGGCCTACCCTGACATTGTCCCAGGGCCTACTCTGACATTGTCCCAGGGCCTACCCTGACGTTGTCCCAGGGCCTGCTCTGACATTGTCCCAGGGCCTACTCTGACATTGTCCCAGGGCCTACCCTGACATTGTCCTAAGGCCTACTCTGACATTGTCCCAGGGCCTGCTCTGACATTGTCCCAGGGCCTACCCTAACATTGTCCCAGGACCAACTCTGACATTGTCCCAGGGCCTACTCTGACATTGTCCCAGGGCCTACCCTAACATTGTCCTAAGGCCTACCCTGACATTGTCCCAGGGCCTGCTCTGACATTGTCCCAGGGCCTGCCCTGACATTGTCCCAGGGTCTACTCTGTCATTGTCCCAGGGCCTACTCTGACATTGTCCCAGGGCCTACCCTGACATTGTCCTAAGGCCTACCCTAACATTGTCCCAGGGCCTACCCTGACATTGTCCCAGGGCCTACCCTGACATTGTCCCAGGGCCTGCTCTGACATTGTCCCAGGGTCTACTCTGCCATTGTCCCAGGGCCTACCCTAACATTGTCCCAGGGCCTACCCTGACATTTTTCCAGGCCCTGCCTCTTGTATTTTTGGGGGTCCGAGACAAAGGGAGGAATGAGGAATCTGACTCCATGTTCTTGAAGGCTAATTTATTATTTTATGATATTATATTATATAAAAGAATACTATACTAAACTATACTAAAGAATACAGAAAGGATACAGACAGAAGGCTAAAAAAATAATAATGAAAATTTGTGACTCCTTACATAGCAGGGCCATGATTGGCCAAATAGTCAAAACAATTCACATGAAACAAATGAAACAATCACCTGTGGGTAAACAATCTCCAAACATATTCCAAAGCAGCAAAACACAGGAGAAGCAAAAGAGATAATTATTGTTTTCCTTTTCTCTGAGGCTTCTCAGCTTCCCAGGAGAAGACTTCTGGGCAAAGGGATTTTTCCAGAAAATGTGATGATGACACCTACCAGGCCCAACCTTTTTCCAACTCCCCTGAATATCCCATGATTTTAGAAACATTTTATCCCTGTGCTATCAGTGGGATAACGCATTCCCTGCTTTTCCATGGCAGAGCACCTGTGATCCAGTGCCAAACCACTCGGAGAGCCTGAGCCACACTGTGACCGTGCCCCTGCAGGCCCCGCTGGGGACGCTGGAGGAAATCGCCTGCTGACCCCTCCCCACCACAGTGCCCATCCCGTGGAAGGAAAACTGCACAGGGAAAACAGGGACCCAGCTCAGGTTTGCACTAGGGGGAAAAAAAAGATGGAAAAAAAATATACTGGAAAAAAAAATAAACTGGAAAAAAAATTATTAAAAAAATCTATTAAAAATAAAAAAAAAAAGAAGAAGAAAAACTCGCTATGCATTAAAAGAATATAAAAATAATATAAAAATATAAATTCTAAATATACTCTGCCCAAAGTGAGAGGCGCCTTGGACCTGACTCCTGTTGTCCTTTCCTCCTGGGGGTTTGGCTCCAACCTGGGAAGCAGCTCCCAGGCTGGGAGAGCTGGGAATGTTCACCTGGAAAAGGGAAGCTCAGAGAAGAGAAACCTCAGAGCCCCTTCCAATGCCTAAAGGGGCTCCAGGAGAGCTGGAGAGGGACTTGGCACACGGGATGGAGGGTCAGGACACTTTTTGGGATTGTCCAAGCCTGAGCAGCAGCAGCAGCAGCAAATCCCAAAGGAAGCATCCCAAATATCCCGAGCACAGCACACCAGGGCTTCTCCTGGCCCTGCGGTTCCTCAGCTGCCTCTCTCAGCTCTGTTCCTCTTTGCAGTCCCTGGGTTTCAGTGCCAGAAGGAGCATCCCAGAATTCTCCATTCCCAGCGCCGTAGGCTGAGAGTTTTACAATAAAGAGATCCCAAAGTCGGCGCTCTCGGATTCTTCCCCCGGCCGTGTCCTCTGGGTGAGGTTGGGCTGAATCCCGAGCTCAGCCCAAGGTGAGCATCCCTGGAGAGGAGCCACAGGGATCCCTATGGATCATCCCAGCCCTGCTGTGCCTGCAGAGTCCGGGAGCAGCAAGTGGGGTTGGGTTCATTCATTTCTTTAATTTTTGGGGGGAATTTTTGCAATTTCCTTCTTCTCCCGTTCATGGATTCTGTGCTTTCTCCTCATTCTCCTGACTGATATTAAAGCTGGTCTTGTGGAAATGGCCAGGCTGTGTCATTCCTGCCTTGCCCTCATTGCCAGTGGGAGGGCAGATCCCAGGAAAAGCCTCTTCCTTATCCCTTACTCCTCCTTTTCCTCTCCCCCCACGTCCTCACACAGCTCAGGATGGGGTGGGAGTGGTGCCATGGCCCTGCCCAGCTGCATCCCTGTCTCCCCTGGGAGGGGGATCTCCAGGATGTGCTGGGATCTCTGGGATGTTGTGGGATCTCTTTGCTGACAGAGGAAACCTCTCTGTGATGTTTTAGGATTGTTCAGCCTGGAGAGGAGAAGCTTTGGGGTGACCTCATTGAGGCCTTCCAGTGCCTGAAGGGAGCCTGGAAAAAACATGGACAGGAGTGAGGGACAGCAGCCAGGGAATGGCTCCCAGTGCCAGAGGGCAGGGCTGGATGGGATATTGGGAATTGGGAATTGTTCCCTGGGAGGGTGGCAGGCCCTGGCACAGGGTGCCCAGAGCAGCTGGGGCTGCCCCTGGATCCCTGGCAGTGCCCAAGGCCAGGCTGGACACTGGGGCTGGAGCTGCCTGGGACAGGGGAAGGTGTCCCTGCCATGGCAGGGGTGGGAATTCAATGATCTTTAGGCTGCTTCCATCCAAACTGGTCCAGGATTCTGGGATTCTAACTCATCCTTTACTGGTCCATTTTAACTGGCTCTGAAGTGTAACAAGAAAATCCATTTCCATCCAAGTGCATCCCAAAATGTGTCAGCAGTGGCTTCACTCCTGGATCCAGGCACTGAGGGATCTCCAGCACTGGGAGAGTCCTGGGGATTTTAAGAAACACCCTCAGGGAGAGATGAGGGTTTGAGGGGCCTGGAAAAGGGCCCTGAGCCCTGATGGAGAGGGATGGGAGGAGATTTCATTTCTGCTTCCAAACTTCATCAGCATTAAGGGTTCCTTTTCCAGAAAAAAAAAAAAAAAAAGACTATAAAGATCAGGAAGAACTGTGAGGATTATATGGGGATTCAGGAGAAGAAACAACCAAACTTCAAACTCCCAGCACAGCCCCAGCTCTGCTGAGTGCCCCAGGATTTTCCAGGAGAAGGGAAGCTCCATTATTTACAGTAATTAACCCCATGCTGGCTTGGAGCATATTCCAAGGAAAAGAGAAAGGAGTGGAAAAGGCACTAGTAGGTCCATCCCACCCCTGTTTGGTGTTGGATGGATCTGCCCAAGGATGGAGCAGGGAGCAGGGATGGGAGCACGGATGGGAGCCAACCATCAGCTCCCAAAATCCTGATGGAAAAAATGAAAAAAGAATCCCTGTGGGAGATGAAAATCCCATGGACAAGGTGGGAAAATCCAGAGTGGGATTGACCAGAGGGTTTGGCTGAGCTGCAGCTCAGAAAATTCAATCTCAACCACAAATCCATCTAACAAAGCTGGAATTGCCATCCCAAGGGATAATCTCCCTTGGAGCTCCACAGGGATGGAGCACTGGGTCATCCCTGCTGGGCAGCAGGGCCCCAGGGCTGGACAATGAGGAAAATCCCATGGGAATGCTTCAGGAGTAAAAGCAGGAGCAGAACCAGCTCTGAGAAGGGATTTCTGAAGTGCAGCTGTGTTCCTGGGGAATGGGAGAGCTCAGCTTGGCATGGAGAGGGCTGGAGCCCAGGCCAGAGCACATTCCTGGGATTTATGGCCCAGCCACCACATCCCTGACCAGCTGCCACAGCTGTGTTCCCACAAGGAGCAGGAAAGCACCCAGGAAATGCTCTTGGAGTCTCCTCCACTTGCTCAAGATCACCCAAGCACCTCTCCCTATTCCTTCTTCATTCCCAGCATTCAGAGGCTCCTCCATCCCACAGGATGCTCCAAGGACCAGCACTTCATTAATCCTGGGAATCACCAACTGTGAAGGACATTCCATGGTCCATTCTCCCTGCTCCTCCCCCAAGCCTGCAGCAAGGACAGCAATTAGAGACAATTAATGGGAATTTTTAGCAGGAAAATTGACCTTGTTTTGTGTTAGTTTGGGTGGGAAGAGCCCAACTCCAAGCCCAATCCCAAAACTAATCCCAACCCAATCCCAACCCCAATCCCAAACCCAAACCCAATCCCAACTGCAATCCTAATCCCAACCCCAACCCCAATCCAAACCCCAATCCCCACCCAATCCCAACCCCAATCCCAACCCAATCCAAACCCCAACCCCAACCCAATCCCAACCCCAATCCCAAACCCAATCCCAACCCAATCCAAACCCCAATCCCAACCCAATCCCAATCCCAACCCAATCCCAACCCCAACCCCAACCCAATCCCAACCCCAACCCCTTCCAAACCCCAATCCCAATCCCAATCCCAATCCCATCCTGATGGGAATTCTTGTGATGGTTCCTCTCCCACCCCACGGTGGTTTCTGGGGGTTTTGTTTCCTTCTCCCCTGCCAGAGCTCAGTGATGATCCATTAGCCCATGGAATTTCTGAGAGCCACGGTCGCTGTTTCCTTGGCTGGCTCTGAACACGTCCATGTTTACGTGCTTCACGCCTGACTCCAGTTTTAAGCCCTCAGAATCTTTTCCCTCCCCTCCTCTCTGTGTTTCTCAGCATCTCCATTGTTATTCCAGGCAGGAACATCCCCCAGCCTCCTTAAGGAATCATCTCCACACTCTGCAGGGTTCCTGCTCTTCCTGATCTCAGGAGCAGCCCCAGAGCACACCCAGGGAAGTTTGCAGAGCAAAAATCCCTTTTTTCCACCAATCTCCTGCAGGAAAATGTGACAGGAGAGGAGCAAAGTGGAGCAAAACCAGGTGGGGAGATCCCACCTTCAGCTCTTCCTGGAAATATCCCAGTGATTATTCCCAAGTCCAGGGGTGCAGGTTTGTCCTGGTTTCCCACATTCCATGGAGGACATTGGTCATCCAGAGGCTCCCTGAAGGGATTTTACTCCTGAGGGTAATTAATGGCTGGAATGCTTGAATTCCTAACTGGGAATTTCACCATCTAACCACAAATCATTGCTGTGGGAGCAGGAGCGTTGTTTCCATGAGCAGGATCTGCAGGAATAACCTGGCAGGGTTTGGGGCTGGCACAGGAATGTCCAGAAGAAGGGAAGCAGTCACTGGGAAAATCCCAGCAACATGATCCCAAAATAAATGTGGAATGAAGGATCTGGAGAGGAGCCCCCCAGGGAACACCTCATGGTATTGCTCTGCTCCTCAGTCCCCTCTGGACTGACCCTGACTGGATCCCACCTCTCCCAAATCCTGAACCCCCAGGAACAGCTCCAAGCCCCTCCAGGGCACTGGGATTTCAGGCACAGCTGGATTTTCCCAGCTAAACCCTTGGCTGAAATTCTGGGAAGCTGCTTTAATTTGGATATCCCAGAAGTGCCATTCCAACTGAAACTTTCACTGAACCACCTTGAATTTCATTTTCCATCCCCCTTCTTGCCAAGGGGCTTCCCAAGCCCCCTGGAGCCTTTTTCCATCAGGATTCTCTAAATCAGGAATGGGAACACTGGAATTTGTCACCTTCCAGTTCATTCATATCTCCCACCCAAACTCCAGCCTTGGGGACACCAGGAGTGCCCAATTCCCATTCCCATGGCACAGCAGTGACAGGAATGTGGCAGCACCCTGGGCTGCCTTGGCTGGACAGAGCTGAGCCAGGGCTGCTCCTGGAGCAGGAAAAGTCCACAAAAACCAAAGTCCAAGAGCAGCCCTAGGCCAGGATTGGAGGCAGAAACCAGGAACAGTGGGAACAGGATCTGGGAGAAGAGCAGGGCCTTGGGAACACCTTCAGCCACTTCCAACAGGGATTTCTCCAGCTGCAGCCTTGGAAAACCATCCCCAAAGGGGCCCTGTCACCAACCAGTAGCAGCCTGAGGAGGAAGGAGCTGCTCCAGGGGCTGGGAGGAAGCATCCCTGTAAATTCCCTGTTTGTTGGCGGAGAACAGGATTTGGCTGTTTAATTATGGATGAGAAAATAAGGGATAATGGATGGATTTACAAGCAGCACTTTGTCATGTAGGGCACCCATGAAAAATTCAGGAGCTCAGGAAGTGCTTTTTTCCCTGCACAGAATTCCCAGCCCTCCCCTCACAGCCAGGCTGGAAAATGCTCTGCCAGGACCTGGAAACAACATTCCTAAGAGGCTCCCAGTCTGTAGCTAAACTGTACATTAAATATTCCAAATTTGTGCCTGGTTCCTTGTGGGAGAGAACCCTCACATGGGGATGGGAATGGGGCCTGGGAGGAGGGAACTGTGTGCAGGGATCCAGAGGGGAAGGGACAGGGATCGGACACAGGGAAAGGGACAGGGATGAGACACTGGGAATAGGACAGGGATCAGACACTGGGAAAGGGCCAGGGATCAGACACTGGGAATAGGACATGGATCAGACACAGGGAAAGGGCCAGGGATCAGACACAGGGAATAGGACAGGGATCAGACACAGGGAAAGGGACAGGGATCAAACACTGGGAAAGGGAGCAAGGATCAGATACTGAGAAAGGGACAGGGATTAAACACAGGAAAAGGGAACAAGGATCAGATACTGGGAATGGGACAAGGATCAGATACTGGGAAAGGGACAGGGATCAAACATGGGAAAAGGGACAGGGATCAGACACAGGGAAAGGGAGCAAGGATCAAACACATGGAAAAGGATCAGACACTGGGAAAGGGAACAAGGATCAGATACTGGAAAGGGAACAAGGATCAGATTCTGGGAAGGGGACAAGGATCAGATACTGGAAAGGGAACAAGGATCAGATACTGGGAAGGGGACAAGGATCAGACAGATCCCAAAGGCTGGAGAAGCAGAGAGGCACAAAAGCAGGGACTGGGAAGAGGGCAAGGATCCTTTCCCAGTGTCCCAGTCTCCCCCCAGTGCCTGACACTCCAAACACAGAGTGGGAAGATCATCCTGGGCTCCTCATCCCTCCCAGCTGGAAGGAGTTTTAAGATCCCTAAACAGGGATCAGCAGCACTTTGGAGCAGAGGAATCTGGCCTGGATCCCCAAAATGTGAGATCAGACCTATGAAA